CCTCGGCGGGAGACGGCCAACTTGTTGAAAAAAAAAAAAATCAGGGAAACCGGTTATTTTTATATAGCCGGACTTGTATCCTGGAAATGGGAAGTACAATGCCTGCAGTTTGGAGGGATATGTTGTGTATCTTTATACGTATATGCTTCTAAACTGTTGTGTTCTGAGCACCTCTGCAAAAACAGTGATTATGTGTGAGTGAGGTGAAAGTGTTGAATGATGATGAAAGTATTTTCATTTTGGGGATTTTCTTTCTTGTTAGGTCACCCTGCCTCGTTGGGAGACGGCCGACTTGTTGAAAAAGAAAAAAATCCATTTGTTCTCTAGGCTTCCTTAACTTGTTAATCTCACTCCAAAACTTTTTCTTATTTTCAACAAAATTTGTTGATAACATTTCACCCACTCTCTCATTTGCTCTCTTTTTACATTGCTTCACCACTCTCTTAACCTCTCTCTTTTTCTCCATATCTCCATGTACTCTGTTAATTATACTTTGGTGTACCTGTACCTAAATATACTTACACACTGTGCTGGTGTGCAGGTACACATTAAAATCGCTAAGAATCTCTCTACTCGTGACGCCAATAGTACATAATAATCCTCACTCTTGGGCACATTAAATGTCTTATACGTATTACATTAATATAGACATTTTCATTAATCCATCTATGATATTTTCCTCAAAATTATGTAAGAAGGAAAATTACATAGCATATAAACATGATACACTCACAAAATAAAAATTTAAGTAAATGTGAGATTTGTTTACTATTGCGGCTGTGTAGGTAGTGTCGGAAGAATTACATTTCTCTAGTCAAACACTGGGGAATACCTGTAGACAAAATATTCCTTTCGTATGCCTTCACTCTATATATAGCAATTCATGACCCTTGTGGGTTTAGCGCTTTTTTATTATGATAATAATAATGTCATCATCTTCACTCTAAAAATGGTGTGTTGCATGAGAATGGGAGTGTTGCAGTTTGTTTATTCTGTACTAACTTGCACAACTTGTACACAATGTAAGAATTTTTGTATTGTGAGATTATTATTATTATAATAAAAAATATATTGTGAGGTAAAAGTTTTACAAACTCTTTCAAACGTACGTGAGTGGACTAGAAGCAGACACATATTAATACGTATTTATTTCGCCTGACAAAGTGATCGCCCACTACCTGTTCAGTTTGTGTTCTTACATTATCTGAACTCTATCTCGTTCTCTCTCTCGTTTACTCTTTCGTTAACTAGTTGGCTCTCACTGACGATGGCGTCTTAGCTTAGCTGTGATAAAAAGAGGAGTCGTTAACCTCTTGCTTTAAGTGCCAAGTTAGAGGATGATAGTGTGCCATTCTGATTTTATTCAATAAACACCCTGCCACTTAGCTCTCACACCTTTATATTAATATTTTAAGGTAAGTAATAAGTGTACTCTGTGTGTATCTTACCTTTTATTGTGTGTTTTTTTTTTTTTGGCCTATTTCTATTGCTAACTTAATATAAGTTAGTGTAAACTTGTTGTCTGGCATTTTTTGCATATTTTATATTATTTTTTTTTTTTTTTTTTTTTTTTTTTATTATCACACTGGCCGATTCCCACCAAGGCAGGGTGGCCCGAAAAAGAAAACTTTCACCATCATTCACTCCATCACTGTCTTGCCAGAAGGGTGCTTTACACTACAGTTTTTAAACTGTAACATTAACACCCCTCCTTCAGAGTGCAGGCACTGTACTTCCCATCTCCAGGACTCAAGTCCGGCCTGCCGGTTTCCCTGAACCCCTTCATAAATGTTACTTTGCTCACACTCCAACAGCACGTCAAGTATTAAAAACCATTTGTCTCCATTCACTCCTATCAAACATGCTCACGCATGCCTGCTGGAAGTCCAAGCCCCTCGCACACAAAACCTCCTTTACCCCCTCCCTCCAACCTTTCCTAGGCTGACCCTACCCCGCCTTCCTTCCACTACAGACTGATACACTCTTGAAGTCACTCTGTTTCGCTCCATTCTCTCTACATGTCCGAACCACCTCAACAACCCTTCCTCAGCCCTCTGGACAACAGTTTTGGTAATTCCGCACCTCCTCCTAACTTCCAAACTACGAATTCTCTGCATTATATTCACACCACACATTGCCCTCAGACATGACATCTCCACTGCCTCCAGCCTTCTCCTCGCTGCAACATTCATCCCCCATGCTTCACACCCAAAAAAGAGCGTTGGTAAAACGTATCTCATACTTTCCCCCTCTTTGCCCCCGGAAAAAGTTTTTTTGTCTCCACAGACCCCTAATGCCCCACTCACCCTTTTCCCCCTTAAATTCTATGTTTTACCCATTTTTCATAGACCCACCCCCTGCACGTCCACTCCCAAATACTGAATCATTCACCCCCTCCATACTCTCTCCCTCCAACTGATATCCAAATTTTTCCCACCTAATCTTTTTTTTATCCTCAAAACCCTTTCCCTCTTTTTTGAGCCCACTATCCTCGTAAAAAACTTTTCCTGCTTTCAGTAACCCTACTTCCACACCATACCCTAAAACATCTCCCCTTACCCCATACCCTGTCATACCCCTTTTTTCCAAAATTAAAAAATACCACAAAGACCTTTTACCTTACCTAAATACTGTTCACATTTTTTCACTGTAAACACCTGGGCCACACACCCCCCACCTTTCAAAGCCTCCTTGTTCATCGCTACCCCTTCTCCTTTTCTCTTAATTTTTCAATAATAAATGTCCAACATTTTTCAGGTATACCAACAGACTATCCCCCTATTTTTTTGCATCTCTTTTTGTCCCCTTTGCCTTTATACAAAGGAACTAGGCATGCTCTCTACCAATCCCTAGGTATCTTACCCTCTTCCATACATTTATTAAATAAGTGCACCAACCACTCCAAAACTATATCCCCACCTGCTTTTAACATTTCTATCTTTATCCTATCAATCCCGGCTGCCTTACCCCCTTTAAATTTTACCTACTGCCTCACGAACTTCCCCCACACTCACAACTGGCTCTTCCCACTCCTACAAGATGTTATTCCTCTTGCCCTATACACAAAATCACAGCTTCCCTATCTTCATCAACATTTAACCCTTTGACTGTCGAAGGGCCCAATCCTGAAGTTGCTCCTGGTGTCGCAAAATATTCGAAAAAAAAAATTTTTTTTTCTATGAAATGATAGAGAATCTTTTCCCGATTGTAAAGGACACCAAAAAAACGAAATTTGATGGAAAACTGACGGAATTAACGCTCTCGCGAAGTTAGCGACTTCGGCATATTTAAAAATCGGCAATTTCGCCCATTTAGCCTTTTTTTTTTCGGCTAATTCCGTTATTCCAGTCAACTAAACTCATAACTTTTTCTTCAGAACTCTATTTTTTCTATCGATTGAGCACAAGAACTGCCCATTTACCGATTTCAACTACCAATAACATGGTCAGAAATTTGCAATTTGGCCAATTTCCCCCGAAATTAAAAAATACGACAATTTCAAAATAAGGTCCAGAATGAACAATGCAGACATTCCTGGCTCTAAAATAAGATTTTCTTTGTTCATCAGTCATGTCTCCAGTCCCTGTGATATTACCTCTTGCTTTTTATTTTGAAATTTTATTCAAACAAAAAATAGAAGATTTACTGTTATGCAGACTACTGCAATACTGTAAAAAATTGAAAAATTACATTAACCCATTCATGACTGCGTAAATTAGAATGGCTATTTGGACATTTATTGGACAATGACATCATTTGTTTACTTTTGAACATCGGCAAAAATCAAACATTTCCTGTACTTTGTGCTCCATTTCCAGGTTCTTTTTATAGTAAAATTAATCAAAATCACCTCCATTTCTATAATATAGTTTCCATTCTATCAAATGAGACCATGAAAACGAGAATACAACCACAAATACTATACGAAAATAGACCACAAAGTCGGCATTTTAATTAAAAAAAACGGTCGGAGTTTTTTTTTTCTCATTATGCACTGCGTGCTCCAGGATTTTTTTTATGTGGTGCACACTGACCACACAGACCCATTCTCTCACATGTGGGCCTACTAGCTTTCTCCTGCCTGATTTGAAGCCGCTAGAATTTATGAGTATATATACGTCAAATACGGTACCTCACAAACGTATATATACGGCCGCGACAGTCAAAGGGTTAACAATTCCTCAAAATATTCCCTCAATCTTCCCAATACCTCTAACTCTCCATTTAATAACTCTCCTCTCCTATTTTTAACTGACAAATCCATTTGCTCTCTAGGCTTCCTTAACTTGTTATTCTCACTCCAAAACTTTTTCTTATTTTCATAACATCTTACCCACTCATAACATCTTACCCACTCTCTCATTTGCTCTCTTTCTACATTGCTTCACCACTCTCTTAACCTCTCTCTTTTTCTCCATATACTCTTCCCTCCTTGCATCACTTCTACTTTGTAAAAACTTCTCATATGCTAACTTTTTCTCCCTTTCTACTCTCTTTACATCATCATTCCACCAATCGCTCCACATATTTTATATGTGCTCTGATGATAATACTTGTGGACCTGTATGGTAGCCGGGCAGAGGGACAATATTACGTTTTCTCTGCTCAGCCACCAGAGAAAACGTGTATGAATCTGCGTTTGGCCCAGCCACTCCCCCACTCCGCTTTTGTTTACAATTTTCGGCATGAATTATTCATTACTTCTCCCTTCGTTTATGATGGCATCTAAAGGTAGTTGTTAGAAACGATTAAATTCAGTGAACAAGGTATGTCGATGCTAATAATATGGCTCTGGGCCACAGTGTAGGTGGCCGGTAGGTGTAGCCCAGGTGGGCTACACCTACCGGCTACCTACAGGCTACCTATACTGATATCCTACAAATGAATACAAATTTTAGTGTCACTGCTTTTAGATATTGTGAATGTTTGAAGAATGTTTTTTTTTATATTTTGTCTGTGCTTAATAATTACTTGTTATTAATTTGATTGACAATCATCAGGTCCTCCACCTCATGGTGCTCCTCCACCACATGGCCCTCCTCCCCATGGGGGTGGCCCACCGGCTCCTCACGTCAACCCAGCTTTCTTTCCACCACACAGTGCTCCTCCTCCTCCTGCTGCAGCTGCACCTCCTGCACACTATGCCCCACCACCCCCAACCCATCAGGTAATTGCATAATGTTTCTTTTTAATTACACTCTTTGTTTTATAGTTTTAATAACTTCTTACAGCACTACTTAGTAATGTAGCAATATCTGATTTTTGGATCTTTGTTGTCTTTAGTCTCTCAGATTGGAGACTAAAAAACCACTATTATTCAGATTCCTAATACTGCCAAGTGTGCAAGCAGTTTCTATATTCTTTTGTGCATTTCACTTGTATAGAGCTTTAAGCAATCATTTTAACCTCAAATTGTTATTAGAATGATTCAATTGATTTTTTCATACAGCACTCAAAATTATATATTTTTGACATGCTTTATATATAGCTTAAATTTTCTAGAAACTCAGTGCAGATAAAGAGGCCTAAGATTAGGGTACAGCTTATTAGTAGCAATCAAAGCATGTTGGTTGTTGTGTTTGACTTTATATATTAATATGCTTTAGGGAGGGAGGGCTAGTGGTTGTCTTTGACTATACAGTAAGGCCCCACTTACGTGGCAGGTTAGGTTCCAGGCTACTGCCGGAAATCAGACATCACCGGAAGGCAGAATGCCATTTTTTCCACTTATAAATGCATATAAATGCCAGATAACTAGTTTACACTAACTTATATTAAGTTAGCAATAGAACTAGACATTAAAAACAATAAAAAGTAAATTACACACACAGTACACCCATTACTTACCTTAAAATATTTGTAGTCTTAATGTAGGGTGAGAGGTGAGGTTTATTTGTAGGTAGTCAGGCTTGGGAGGTATGGTAACCAGCCAGGTCAGCCCACCCCACCCCACCCACACGTAATATACTACGACATTTAATTAAAGCGTCCCAGAGAGATAAAATGCATACACAGTACATTCATTAATTAACTTGAAATATTTGTACAGTAGGGCCCCACTTATACGGCAGGTTAGGTTCCAGGCTACCGCCGTAAAGTAGAAATCTCTGTAAAGTGGAACACCCTTTTTTTCCCCTTATAAATGCATACAAATACTAGATAACAAGTTTACACTAACATATATTAAGTTAGCAATAGAACCAGGCATCAAAAAACAATAAAAAAGTAAAATACACACACAGTGCACTTATTACTTACCTTAAAATATTTGTAGTCTTAATCTAGGGTGAAACTAGTAGTATTTATTGTAAGAAATCAAGTGTTGTATGTATGACAGTCAGCCGGGCTACCATACCAGGCCAACCCACCTACACATAATATTCTATTACATTTAAGCATCCCAGAGTGATAAAATGCATATACAGTTCACTCATTACTTAAAATATTTGTAGTCTTAATGTAGGGTTAGGGGGTGAGTAAATGAGAGAGAGAGAGAGAGAGAATGAGTACATGAGGGAGGACAGGTGCAGAGTTATGTAAACACACCAGGCAAACACAAGTTTTGTAAACAAACAAAGTGTACACGTCTGGTTTGTGTACAAGTTACAATGTGTACAAGTTGTCTCTACATTGATACGGTCGAATAAATAAAGAAGAACACTTCCATTCTCATGTAACACCATTTTTAGAAGAAATGACGCTCTGAGTGAAGGCAATGGAAATAAGTCACTCTGACTTTTTTGGGTTATCCTAGGTTCTCTACACATATGCTGTTTTTTTATTATCACACCGGCCGATTCCCACCAAGGCAGGGTGGCCCGAAAAAGAAAAACTTTCACCATCATTCACTCCATCACTGTCTTGCCAGAAGGGTGCTTTACACTACAGTTTTCAAACTGCAACATTAACACCCCTCCTTCAGAGTGCAGGCACTGTACTTCCCATCTCCAGGACTCAAGTCCGGCCTGCCGGTTTCCCTGAATCCCTTCATAAATGTTACTTTGCTCACACTCCAACAGCACGTCAAGTATTAAAAACCATTTGTCTCCATTCACTCCTATCAAACACGCTCACGCATGCCTGCTGGAAGTCCAAGCCCCTCGCACACAAAACCTCCTTTACCCCCTCCCTCCAACCCTTCCTAGGCCGACCCCTACCCCGCCTTCCTTCCACTACAGACTGATACACTCTTGAAGTCATTCTGTTTCGCTCCATTCTCTCTACATGTCCGAACCACCTCAACAACCCTTCCTCAGCCCTCTGGACAACAGTTTTGGTAATCCCACACCTCCTCCTAACTTCCAAACTACGAATTCTCTGCATTATATTCACACCCACACATTGCCCTCAGACATGACATCTCCACTGCCTCCAGCCTTCTCCTCGCTGCAACATTCATCACCCACGCTTCACACCCATATAAGAGCGTTGGTAAAACTATACTCTCATACATTCCCCTCTTTGCCTCCAAGGACAAAGTTCTTTGTCTCCACAGACTCCTAAGTGCACCACTCACTCTTTTTCCCTCATCAATTCTATGATTCACCTCATCTTTCATAGACCCATCCGCTGACACGTCCACTCCCAAATATCTGAATACGTTCACCTCCTCCATACTCTCTCCCTCCAATCTGATATTCAATCTTTCATCACCTAATCCTTTTGTTATCCTCATAACCTTACTCTTTCCTGTATTCACCTTTAATTTTCTTCTTTTGCACACCCTACCAAATTCATCCACCAATCTCTGCAACTTCTCTTCAGAATCTCCCAAGAGCACAGTGTCATCAGCAAAGAGCAGCTGTGACAACTCCCACTTTGTGTGTGATTCTTTATCTTTTAACTCCACGCCTCTTGCCAAGACCCTCGCATTTACTTCTCTTACAACCCCATCTATAAATATATTAAACAACCACGGTGACATCACACATCCTTGTCTAAGGCCTACTTTTACTGGGAAAAAATTTCCCTCTTTCCTGCATACTCTAACTTGAGCCTCACTATCCTCGTAAAAACTCTTCACTGCTTTCAGTAACCTACCTCCTACACCATACACTTGCAACATCTGCCACATTGCCTCCCTATCCACCCTGTCATACGCCTTTTCCAAATCCATAAATGCCACAAAGACCTCTTTAGCCTTATCTAAATACTGTTCACTTATATGTTTCACTGTAAACACCTGGTCCACACACCCCCTACCTTTCCTAAAGCCTCCTTGTTCATCTGCTATCCTATTCTCCGTCTTACTCTTAATTCTTTCAATTATAACTCTACCATACACTTTACCAGGTACACTCAACAGACTTATCCCCCTATAATTTTTGCACTCTCTTTTATCCCCTTTGCCTTTATACAAAGGAACTATGCATGCTCTCTGCCAATCCCTAGGTACCTTACCCTCTTCCATACATTTATTAAATAATTGCACCAACCACTCCAAAACTATATCCCCACCTGCTTTTAACATTACCCCCTTTCATTTTACCTACTGCCTCACGAACTTCCCCCACACTCACAACTGGCTCTTCCTCACTCCTACAAGATGTTATTCCTCCTTGCCCTATACACGAAATCACAGCTTCCCTATCTTCATCAACATTTAACAATTCCTCAAAATATTCCTTCCATCTTCCCAATACCTCTAGCTCTCCATTTAATAACTCTCCTCTCCTATTTTTAACTGACAAATCCATTTGTTCTCTAGGCTTTCTTAACTTGTTAATCTCACTCCAAAACTTTTTCTTATTTTCAACAAAATTTGTTGATAACATCTCACCCACTCTCTCATTTGCTCTCTTTTTACATTGCTTCACCACTCTCTTAACTTCTCTCTCTTATGTATGATAATCTATGTAACCGTATTTGTGTATACCTGAATAAACTTACTAGAGAAAATGTTATTCTTGCCATCACTCATAAAAGTCTGGCTTCCACATCTCATTTTTTCTTCTCAACAAGTCGGCCGTCTCCCACCGAGGCAGGGTGACCCAAAAAGAAAGAAAATCCCCAAAAAGAAAATACTTTCATCATCATTCAACACTTTCACCTCACTCACACATAATCAGCACAGTAGCATGAGTGCATACTATGTATGCACTCATGCTATGTATGTTTAGAAGTATATACAGTGGACCCTCGCCTAGCAAATGCATCACATAACGTTAAATTCGCCTAACAATACATTTTAACGCTAACGTTTTGCCTCGGCTAATGCTAAAAAAAATTGCCTAACGATATTCGTTCCCGGGTACCAATTAATATCGTTAGGTGAGGGTCCTCTGTACATATAAAAATACACAATATATCCCTCCAAACTGCCAATATCCCAAACCCCTCCTTTAGAGTGCAGGCATTGTACTTCCCATTTCCAAGACTCGAGTCCAGTTATATAAAATAACCGGTTTCCCTAAATCCCTTCACTAAATATTACCCTGCTCACACTCCAACAGCTCGTCATGTCCCAAATACCATTTGTCTCCATTCACTCCTATCTAACACGCTCATGCACGCATGCTGGAAGTCCAAACCCCCTCGCCCACAACACCTCCTTTACCCCCTCCCTCCAACCTTTTCGAGGACGACCCCTACCCCGCCTTCCTTCCCCTACAGATTTATTCACTCTCCATGTCATTCTACTTTGATCCATTCTCTCTAAATGACCAAACCACCTCAACAAACCCTCTCCAGCCCTCTGACTAATACTTTTATTAACTCCACACCACCTAATTTCCACACTCTGAATTTTCTGCATAATATTTACACCACACATTGCCCTTAGAAAGGACATCTCCACTGCCTCCAACCGCCTCCTCGCTGCAGCATTTACAACCTAAGCTTCACCCCCATATAAGAGTGTTGGTAATACTATACTTTCATACATTCCCTTCTTTGCCTCCATAGATAACATTTTTTGCCTCCCTACATACCTCAATGCACCACTCACCTTTTTTCCTTCATCAATTCTATGATTAACCTCATCCTTCATAAATCCATCCGCTGACACGTCATCTCCCAAATATCTGAAAACATTCACTTCTTCCATACTCCTCCTCCCCAATTTGATATCCAATTTTTCTTTATCTAAATCATTTGATACCCTCATCAACTTACTCGTTTCTATGTTCACTTTCAACTTTATACCTTTACACACACACACTCAAATTA